GGGGGTAGGGAGGGAGAGAGGGAGAGAGAGGGAGGGAGGGAGAGGGAGGGAGGGAGGGTATAGGAGGGTGAAGGTGTCATGTCATCTCTCTCTTCCGTCAATGCTATACCCTCCTTCCTCTCTCTCTCTCCCTCTTTCTTTGCTCCTTCTCTTCTCTCCTTGTTCATCATGTTTTCTCTCCTCTCTCCATCTCTCTCTCTCTCTGTTTATTCCCTTCCCTCTTCGTCTTTCTTTATTCCCTTCCTTCCTATCACCTCATTCTTTCCTTCTATCCTTCCTTCATCTCTCATTTCTTTCTCCTTCCCTCCTCCCTCCCATCCTCCTTACCCCCTCCCTACCCCCCCCCTCACGTCTCTCATCTTATCAAGAGGAGGGAAGCTTGTAGACGTGTGTGTGTCGTACATCTGTCGGTAACCTGTCGGAGGGGAAGAAGGAGGAGGAAGAGGAGGAGGAGGAAGAGGGGAAATAAGGATGAATGACATGTCGTTGGTAGTGACTTTTTCCCCTCACTCTTCCTCCTCGTCTTCCTCCTCTACCTCTTCCTCCTCCTACTCCCACTTCTCCTCACTCCTCCTCACCACCATCACCACCACCACCACCACCACCCCTCCCACCCCCACCACCACCACCACCACCACCACCACCACCACCCCCTCCCCCACCACCACCATCATCACCACCCCCCCACCACCACCAACACCTCCCCCACCACCACCACCTCCCCCACCTCCCACCACCATCATCATCACCACCTCCCCCACCACCACCACCCTCCCCACCACCACCACCACCACCACCACCACCACCACCACCACCACCTCACCACCACCACCCACCTCCCCCACCACCACCATCACGCCTCCACCTCCCCACTACCACCAACACCCTCCCCACCACCACCACCTCCCCACCTCCCCCACCACCACATCATCACACACCTCCCCCCACCACCACTATCATCACCACCATCACCACCATCATCACCACACGCCTTGGCCGTGCTGACAAATTGACGCTTTGGAGGGAGAGAGAAAAGGAGAACATTATTATAATTAAAACAAGACTCCTCCTCCTTCACTCCCTTCACCCCCTTCACTTCCTTCACCCACCTCAAAGAGGGATTACTTTGGTTGGCTGGAGAGGAAGAGTGACATGTCGGCTGGTGGGATTACACACCTTCACTATCACCACACTGGGGATTGTGTGTGTGTGTGTGTGTGTGTGTGTGTGTGTGTGTGTGTGTGTGTGTGTGTGTGTAGGAGGTGCTGTGAAGGTAGAGGTTTATAGGACTCTTCTTCTCTCTTCGTAGGGTCTAGGATTAATGCGTGTCCAGGATAGGTTACGTTACGTTAGGTGTTACGCTAGTTAGGTTGGGGGTAATTACTTTGGGCTAATTAAGTCAGGTTAATTACGTAATCGGGTAATTGGCATGGAGGATCCTTAGTGTTTGTTTGTTTATTTGTCTGTTTGTTTGTTTGTGTTGTTCAGACGGAGGTGATTAAGACTGAATGTATTTTCCCTAATCAATCATAATTAACGCATTAAGATCATTAAATAACCATCAACAGTTCCCTAAGTACATTTACCTCATTCCTCATTCTTTTAATTATCTTTTATATTCATTAATTAACTTAACTTTATTATCTCTATATTTTCTTCACTAATTACAAATACTAATAACACAATTAAAAGCCATAAACTCTTCACAACTTAGTAATTAAATATGTTACTTAATCTTCTTCGTTAATTACCAAGTTGAAATCCCAGACCAATTTAAAGTAATTAGTATACGCCCCCACCTGAGACACGACACAGGTAATTATAATATCATTTAATTTTAATATATTACCTCCAAGTTAATGATCTACCTGTGTTTAGTCAATTTTTTTTCTATTTTATTCTTCTATTTGTAGTCTATTACCTATTGTATTCTTTGTCTTGTTTATCACTAGTGTCTATTGTATTTTGTATATATCTATTGTGGATGGAAACGGATTTGTAAACAATCTCTCACGAACGCTTTACTAAATTTAATGGATTTGGAAATATGGTCTCAGGAACGTATAATCTAAACGGTGGTTATTAATGGATTTGTAAAGTACCTCGCACGAAAGCCAATAATAAGACTCGATATAACGTAAAGTAAACTATCACGAACGATAAGAAAAAGAAGAATGTTATTTAGGGTCTCACGAACACACGTAACTAGACTGTGCATGGATATCATCGGATTTATAAACACACTCTCACGAACACAAACATACAAGAACCTTCACACCCCCCCCCCCCCACCCGGCAGCAGAGAGCTCCGGGCGAGGCTGGGAGAGGAGGGGGATCTTCCTACCTAGCGAGTCACCTTCTATACGGAGGAAATACAAAAATAAAATCAAGGAGAAAATTCATTACTAGGATTCACAACAACAAAAGCCAAGCATACTTACCTGTACGAGGGCGTCTGAGGTGAGGGGACTGCCACCCTTAACACGAGGGGAGATAAAGGCCAACTTAGACCCTTCTAGACGCCTGTGGGATGGGTCTATCTTCACATTAGCACCAGTCTAACGTAATATCAACAGATGAGGACTTGAGGTGTAGACTGCTGGCGGTGTTTCCCGACAATCCTACCAGAGAAATCGACTCAGAAAACAGGAAAACTATATACGACATAACCCCAAAGATCTTATACCTATCAGGAACCAATATAAATAAACAAAAGACAATCACCATGTCAACAAACCACAGGTGAAGGTGTACGTAAGGAAAACGTCTCTTGCTTCTCTTGGTAATTAAGACGTGTAAGCTAATGGCCGGAGATTATCGCACAGCGGGCGTCCTGGCTGGTGGCAGGAGTGAATATTACTTTAGCAACAACAAAGACTCGTGTAAGGATCAAAGGAGTGTCGTTGTATTGTCTGTGAGGGTGAGGGAGGAGAGGGTGTAGCCGGTGGGTGAGGGAGGAGGGGGTGTAGGCGGTGGGTGAGGGAGGAGGGGGTGTAGGCGGTGGGTGAGGGAGGAGGGGGTGTAGGCGGTGGGTGAGGGAGAGAGAGAGAGAGGGAATGAGTGTGGGTTTTGAGGAGGTGAGGGAGTGAGAGGGAATGAGTGTGGGGTATGAGAGAGAGGGAGAGGGAAGGAGTAAGAGGCAGGCACGGGGCAAGGGAGTGAGAGAATAAGGGAGACGAAGAGGAAAAGGAAGAAGAAAGGGAGAGAGAAAGAAGATTAGGGAGAGAAAGATGAAAGTTTCCTCACCTCATGAATATTAAGTGAGACTCACAGGGAAGGGTGAAGGATAGGTGGTGGGTAGGAGAGAGAGAGAGAGATAATATGTGTACAACTTTTGTCTTCATAACACACACACACACACACAGGAACGACCTCTTAGGAATTCAGTAATTAAGACAAATTAATCTTTTCAAACATTGTTGTATAAAGTCGAACTGACGACAGACAGACAGACAGACAGAGAGATCTAAGAAATTAAAACATATTATGACGCTGTCTATAAACTGATTAAGATACATTCTGTCTGTCTGTGTGTCTGTCTCTCAGCCACTAGTACACGTACACATCTCTACTAGTACACGGAGGCAGTAGTAACAGGTAGTAGGCAGCTACTAAACAGGGAGGTACTGCCGCCTGGGAAGATATTGGAAGCATAATGTATTGTCTAATGGTAGACCCTGCTGCCATATAGCATCACAAAAACTGTGACCAAGTCCCAGGTTGCTGATATGACTTTCTGCCTCATTTACACACAATTGAAGGGTCTCAATTGTTTCTCTTACTATTGACAACACAACATACTGTATATTGTTTCTCACCTTTGATCTTTTTTTTTATTCATTTGTGGTCCTTTATTATTATTATTATTATTATTATTATTATTATTATTATTCATCATCATCATCATCATCATCATCATCATCATCATCATCATCATCATCATCATCATCATCATTATTAATATTATTTCGCCATCATAAAGACACACATCAGTACAGACAAAATATTCTTATAAGTACATTCATATAAATTCATATACTAACTGCACTATGTAGATAACAATTTGTATTACCAATTTATATGAAAGTATCGCCACCATTGTGTATTATATAATTTACATCGATCTATATGAATACACTATACTAATACCTACATGTATATAAATTCCTACATTGTGCGTTTATGTGTACAGTAGCTTGTAGTATACATAAGTGATCTTCCTCTGTACTTTCTATTATATCATTTTAACTATTATTTAGAGTGATAGAACATATAAACACTCAATATAAACATCGAGAAGCTAGTAAACAAAACATAAAAGTTATCCATTAAATAATCGTTTTCTTTGGTTTATATTTTATCCGTTTTCTGTTACACTATTTGACGTAAACTAAAATAATAGTAATAAAAATGATAATAAAGAATAATAATAATAATAATAATAATAATAATAATAAGAAGAAGAAGAAGAAGAAGGAGAAGAAGAAGAAGAAGGGGAATAAAAGAAGAAATTACATAAAGTTTCGTCTACCCTTTACCCAAATACAATTAAAAAATCTTACCTGTTCTGATATTCGCTGACCTTTTTACACAGGCAGGTATAGCACTGTCTTGGCCCGCACTAATATGACTTGGCCTAGTGATTACCGATAACTTTTGTCAGGTCATATTTAATAAGTGGGTGATGGACCGGTGTTTAGCTGAGTTAACTTTTGCTCATGATAGTTGTACCTTGTAATTTTCTCTCTGTCTCTTTCTGTGTCTCTGCGTCTCTCTGTCTTCATGTCTCTCTATCAGTTTCTCTTAAAATAATAATAGTAACAACACCTGTACGTAAATATCTTCATACAGATATTGGGAAAAAACGACCTTGATTCTCATTGGTCGGTTATGGGATGATCTGATAATATGGACCAATCAGTGAACTTTTCCTTCGGTCGGGTTCCTCCTGGGGGTTATATAAAGAGCTCGGGAGGGGCGTGTCCTGGGCTCATTCCTGTCCCGTCTGTTGCCTAGGTAAGTACTCTCTCTCTCTCTCTCTCTACGTCCCATAAATGTCACTCCAGCAAAAGTTTTCTCAATGTCCTCATATTACGGTTCAAGATAGCAGCTTAGCGGTTGTATTAGTGAAGTGATTATTATTTAAGTTTTATTGTTTAACGTCAGAGTGTGCGTGATGGTGAGAGAGAGAGAAAGAGAGAGAGAGAGAGAGAGAGAGTGAATAGACAGTTAAATTGACAGATAAACAGACAGTACATTCATATATCATCTACTTTCTATTCCCTTCCAGTTACGACTTAGATTGGAACGACCTGAAGCCAAAAACGACCCTCTATGACGACCATGGCGCTGCTGGGGGTACTACTACTAATCGGGGTCGTTCCTGTAGTAGTCGTGGCCAGCTTGACTCCTTCTACAGGTAAGTAACAAGCTCCTGGTCTCAAGTACATGTTTTGTTGACGTTTTGGTTAGGTTAGGTTAGGTTGACGTGTGGAGACGTGTTTAGTGGCTTCATTCTTAAGACTGTGGGCATCCGTTTGAACCCCCCAGGAGAGGAGATGTCTCTCTCTCTCTCTCTCTCTCTCTCTCTCTCTCTCTCTCTCTCTCTCATACCATACTCATTTGGTTATTGTCTTCACAGGAGGAGGGGAGGTGCTGGCGGAAGCGGGAGGAGCGGTTGAGGCGGTGCTGGTGGAGGTGGGAGGAGCGGTTGAGATGCTGGTGGAGGCGAGGGGAGCGGTTGAGGTGCTGGTGGAGGTGGGAGGAGCGGTTGAGATGCTGGTGGAGGCGAGGGGAGCGGTTGATGTGCTGGTGGAGGCAGGAGAAGCGGCCGGGGAGGTGCTGGTGGAGGCGGGGGGAGCGGTTGGGGATGTGTTGAAGGCCTCTAACTTACCTTACTGTTCCGTCCTGTACCTCATCGACGGCACTACCTCCACCCATGGCCTCCACCAGGTGTGTTGATGTCTGTCTGTCTGTCTGTCTGTCTGTCTGTCTGTGTGTGTGTGTGTGTGTCTGTCTGTCTGTCTGTCTGTCTGTCTGTCTGTCTTTGTTTCTGTGTGTCTGTGTGTGTCTGTCTGTCTGTCTTTGTTTCTGTGTGTACCCAAAGCCGTTTATTTTATGTACAGATAAATAACACACTCAGCTTACATACATACATACATACATACAGAGGCGGCTAATTTATTTGTTATTCAATATTGTTTACGAAATGAATAATGACGCAACATCGGTAAATTTATTCATATTATTTCTGTCTGAATTTTCAATATATAATTTTTTTTTCATTTTAAAACATTAATTTTATCCGGGTAGAAAAAAATCAATAATAATTGACGATGTGGCCAGAGAATACCGGTCAGGGGTGGGTTGGGTCAGGGTGGAGAATTAGGTTGAAGTGCGGAGGTCAGGTGGGTTGGGTCAGAGATTCAGAGGTAGGTTTAGGGGGTGCGGAGGGTCCCCTAGGGTGGGTTGGGTCAGGGATGGAAGATGGGTTGGGGGGGGAGCAGAGGGGGTTGAGAGACTCACTTTCAATAATTCACTTCTACGAGTAGTGACAGACGAGGTGCAGCGCCCTTGGTGTTCTGGTGACGGAGGTAGTACTGGTGACGGAGGTGGAGGAACCAGGTGGTGACGGGAACCTAACTCATAACCAGCTGTCTCAGACGGTTCAAATGGCCAGGAAGGTATTTATCTATCTAAGCTAATGTATGTATGGATGTATGTATGTATGGATGTATGTATGGATGTATGTATGGATGTATGTATGTATGTATGTAATCTTACATTCCAAAGTTCTAAACCATTCCTCTCTCTCTCTCTCTCTCTCTCTCTCTCTCTCTCAGATGCGAGACCTGTGCTGGTGCCTGACGGTGGTAGTGGTGAGCGACAATGTGACCTTCCTCAGCGCCTTCGCCAAAGCCGCCGACGATGATCGCCTGTTGGTGTGGTCGACGAAGGTGTTGGTCGTCACTAATCTCCTTCAGGAAGACCTTGACGACCTCCTCGCCTCCCACTGGGCCTACTCCATGATGAACGTGTTGGTGGTGAATGTGGAGGAGGTCCCTGACAGAATGAGGTGAGAGAGAGAGAGAGAGAGAGAGAGAGAGTTCTTATTTTGTTTTTCAATTTATAATAAAATTAATATTTCTGAGTAATATTTATGACTAATATTCTCTCTCTCTCTCTCTCTCTCTCTCTCTCTCTCTCTCTCAGGTGTGGGGTATGGGTCCACATGCCTTACAGTCTTAGTGGCATCGGGCACAGCGTGAGGGTAGCGTCCTGGACCCCTGAACTGGGTCTTGTTTACATAGGCTCTGTGCCACTGTTCCCGGAGAAGGCTGCCAAGTGAGTGAACTCTCTCTCTCTCTCTCTCTCTCTCTCTCTCTCTCTCTCTCTCTCTCTCTCTCTCTCTCTCTCTCTCTCTTGTGCTACTTGTATCTATATAAATATGTCTATACCTGTACCTATTCCAACCCTTGTACCAATAATTATACCTGCCTCTACCCGTAACTCTAACTTTATCTGTAAATCCATGAATACCTGTAACTATAATCAACACCTATACCTCTAACTCCATCCGTCACTGTAACTGTAATCTATAATCAACACCTATACCTCTAACTCCATCCGTCACTGTAACTGTAATCAACACCTGTTAATACCTGTAATTCCAACCTGTCACTGTAACTGTAATTAACACCTGCCAATACCTGTACTCTCTCTCTCTCTCTCACACACACATAAAACACACCTTCTCTGACAGCTTCTACGGCGCCCCTGTCGATGTGGTGGCTAATTCCTTCCCTCCCTATTGGATCGAGAACCAATACACTACCTCAGAGGGCACAGTCACCAAGACCTTCTCCGGCAGGGGCTGGTTACTCATGGAAGCGGCGGCACAGACGCTTAACTTTACCATACGTCATATGCCGACACGAGATTGGATTGAGGTAAGTGAGGGGTGGGGTTACCTGTCTGTCTGTCTCTCTCTCTGTTTGTCTGTGTGTGTGTGTGTGTGTGTCTGTCTGTCTCTCTCTGTCGAAGTATGTGAGGATTGGTGGAGGATTTAGCTGTCTGTAAGTGTCTGTTTATCTGTTGATTTATCTGTCTTCGGAGGGATTGTCTGTCTGTCTGTCTGTCTGTGTTGTTAACTGGCAGCTGATCTATCTAACCTATTCATCAATCTATTGTACTTCATTATGTCCCATTTATTCACTTCGTTCTTTATTCTTACACTTACGGACGTCCCTCCCTCCCTCTTTCCCTCCCTCCCTCCCTCCCTCACTCTTTTCCTCCTTCCTCCCTCCTCCCTCCTCCCTCCCTTCCTTCCTCCCCTCCCTCCTCCTCCCCTCCCCTCCCTCCCTCCCCTCCCCTCCCTCCCTCCCTCCCTCCCTCCTCCTCCTCCCTCCCTCCCTCCCCTCCCTCCCTCCCTCAGGACAGATCAGCCCCTCACCTCCTCCTCACCTCCTCCTCACCTCCCTCAGGTAATGGACCTTATCAAGAACAGATCAGCGTACATCTCGCCCGTAGCGTACGTGATTATGCCTCACCAGCTGGCTACTGTCGACTACACGGTGTTTATAGAGCCGGATACCCTGACCTTCAGTATGGCCACGCCCTCCCTCGTCGCCCGCTGGCAGAATCTGTACTATCCCATGACGCCTCTGGTCTGGTGCCTCGTCTTCATGGTGCTTCTGCTGCTACCATTCTCCCTGTTCATGGTAGGAGGTGCTGCTATTTGTCCCTATTCATGGTAGGGGAAGTAGGGCACTAAATGGAACCCCTTAAACTCACCTAAAGTCACCCCTTCGTCAGGTAAGTCGTGAAAAGATGGGAAACATGTGGTAAAATGAAGGTACTTTAATCTCACTTTTCGTTCAACCCTTCGTCAGGAGACTCACGAAGAAGAAATACTATAGATAGATTACCATACCTAACCTACTCCTTCGTCAGGTATGTCGTTTGGGAGAGAACATAGGAAATAAACACAAACAAGTTGGTCTAATGGTCATCGCTGAAGAGGTCCTAGCAACATTCCTGGGTCAAAGCCTCTCCGGCCGCCTCCCCACCCACGCCTCCGTCAGGTTGATGCTGGGGACGTGGTTGATGTTCGTACTAGTGGTGTCTACGGCTTATAGGGGTAACCTGACGGCTTCTCTTATTATACCTAAATATCCTGCCAGGGTGGAGACGTTGAGCCAACTTATTGAGGCGGGGGTCATGTGAGTAGTGAGAGAGAGAGAGAGAGAGAGAGAGAGAGAGAGACTGATAAAAAAACTGATAAAAATACAGAAAAATGGCGTAAAACAAAGAGAAATAAAGAAAGAAAGACAGAAAGAAAATAAAGCTATCTCACACCACCTCTCCTCTCTCTCTAGGGTTACCGTACCGAAGGATGATGGTGATGACCTCATAAGTTTCTTCAAGCAGTCTGGGTCGAGGGACTTCCAGGTGTTAGCTGAGAGAGCGTACAAGGTGGCCGATACTCTGGCGGGGTTAATCCAGGCGACGCAGAAGAAGTGAGTCTGCCTGGCGTACGTTCGTCTGGCGGAGAATATAGAGGAGAGAGAGTTTAAGTATAGGATGTGAATTTTTTTTGTTAGAGGTTGCAGGTTTTTGTAGGGGTTCTTTCTGTATCTGTTTGTTTGTTCATATGTCTGTCTGTCTGTCTGTCTGTCTGTCTGTCTGTCTGCTCACAAATATCTGACAGTTCATTTTACATCGAGAGGTGTTATATTATACCTGTGTACGACTACTTGATTTTGGCCAATGATAAACATAAACATAGGTTTTAAGTTACCCTTCAAAATTTCCCCTACCCCTCTGCAACCTCCCCCATTACCACACCTTCCTCTCACCCAAACCCCCACCCCCACCCCACCCTCACCCTCACCCTCTACCCCCTACCCCCCACAGAGAGGCGTACGTGTATGTCCGTAAGTTGATGGAAGCGTTGATAGCTGAGCATCTGACTGATGAGACAGGTGGCGCTCAGCTGTACGTGGCCCAAGAAAACATCTCACCGGGGTTCGCTGCCTGGCCCATCATTAGAGACGCGCCCTTCAAGCCTGCCCTCGACCGCTGCATAGTGGCCCTGACGGAGGTGAGAGAGAGAGAGAGAGAGAGAGAGAGTTAAAAGATTAAGAAAGACAAACTCAACATTGTAAAAACTCTGACACTATTTTCACCTCACACCACCACCTTCTATCCCTCTTCTTCCTCCTCCTCCTCCAGGCGGGGCTGACGGAGAAGTGGATGAGCAATGTGATAAATGATGCTAAACGGAACAGTCGACTCAAACACCGTGTCGCTATACAGAAGGAGGCGCTGCTGGGGATCAAGTCCTCAGCGGTCACCAGGCATATCATCCAGGCCCTGACACTCACCCATCTCCAAGGACCTTTCTTTCTCCTTCTGCTGGGACTCCTGCTGTCCTTTGTATCCTTCACCCTGGAGATTCTACTGAAGGTGGTGGTAGTAAAGAGTTCCTAGGAATCCTTCGGGAATTACTCTCCTTGAATCCTTAATCCTGACTCCTTATTACTTAATACTATCATTACTTTTTTCGTAGAGTGATTTAAGTAATTTCTGTACTTATTTTACCTGTTAATTACTATATATTTATGTATCTCTTATATAATCTGTCTAAATAAACTTCTATCTATCTATCTATCTATCTATCTATCTATAAAGGAACACCAAATAAGTACTCCCACTTTAATATATTATAAACATTGTTATTTCACATAAACATAAAAAAACATTAATCAATATTACCTTAACTAATATAAACATTAAAGAATTATCAAGCAGATTATATTTCAATTACCTATAAACATTACCTATATATATATTAACATTATCTCGATATATACATTAATGGAAGATTACGTAGAGTATTATATAAATTTACTATAAACATTATTAGTACCGGGGTCCCTTAACTAGTGTATTAACATCAGGTAAAAAAAAACATTTAGGTTCGTTTTCTCTGTCTTGTAATGTTGATGATAGTCTTTTGTTTTATTCCCTTCCTTTCTCTCTCCCAACTCTTCTTAAACCCCACCCAGCCTTTTCCACCCCTCCCTAAACCACTACTACCACCACCAACACTACTACCACTACTATTACCACCAGCAACACTACCACCAGCAACACTACCACCACTATTACCACCAGCAACACTACCACCACCAGTACTAATCCTTCCCCCTGTACTCAGACAAGCTTACCCTCCATAAGCCCTCAGGCGACTAACCTTCCTACATCAACCTCGACACCTCTTAACCACCTCCTTCACCCACCTGCTTCTACTGTGGTACTCCTGCGGCGTCTTCCCTTCTGCAGGAGATAGATGAGATTATTTCCTACACCTCAGAAGGATATAAGAAAGAGTTTTGATCTGTTTTGGTTTGTTTTCCTCGGCCACATAAAGAGATTTGAGAGGGGATTTCAAAGTAGTAAATTGGCTTATCTGTCGGTAGGTCAACACAGAGAGAGATACAGACAGACATACTGACCTGGTTATCTACTCTAGTTCTTTAACCTATACTTCTGTTATCGTGAATTGTACAGTAGGTTAGGTTGGGTTACATAAACACTAAACGTATCAATATTTGTAAACTTTGTGGTTAACCCGACTCCCACATCCTCTCCCACTTCATTCTCACTTGCCCTATGACCTCCTCCTACAGGTCCCCAGCCGTTACCAACACCTCGTCCCTCCCTGACCAGATATCCCTCCTCCTAGTGACAGGCCTGGCACAAGGGACCTGCCACGCTTTGCCTTAAACAGAAGTATACCGGACCCCACACACCCCCTTCATACAGTCATCCTCCTATCACTATGTATGTAACTTGTTGACAAAACCCATGGCTCTTCAGGCACTTAAGTCCTTAATGCATGAGTCATGGAAAGGGGTGCTCAATAAACTAGCCTCCTCGTGGGGCAAATCTGGAAGAAAAAAAATACCGGTACATGTAAACAGTGTTGGCTTTAACCAGGTCAAGGCCGGGCTATACTTCCCCTTGGTCACGTAGGTCTATATACCATACATATATACTAAAGAAAATATACCAATATATCCCACAACTGAGGTTATGTAATCTATATTCTCTCTATAACCAAACCTTGATTATAAAAACTGTAGTTAATACTATTTATGTATCTGATATTTTCAAAGTCATTCATTGGTTTATTTTCTACTTCGGGAAAATGTCGAGTATAAATATTAATACTCCCGACATACTTTTCAGTATTTCCGGTCGTTTACTACACAAAGTTTAGAGCGGTTGTATAACGAGATCAACCTGTAGGGAAGGGGGGTGAGGGGCCCTTCACTGGCTTCCCTGGGTCACCTAATGTCTTTTCCCGCTAACCAGTACTCATCTTTATTTACCTATTTAACCCTATTTTCTCCCCATTTTTTACTATTTTACCACTTAGATAAATAGAAATAAATACCAATTTATACGTAAGTGTATGGATAACAGGTTAGAAGACTTAAATATGGAAGAAAATAAGGATTAAAATAAAATAAGTTGAAGCTACAAGATGGATTCTGGACGTGTGTCTGGGAGGTATAGGGGGCCCTGACGTCGGTTCATTCCTGACGGACCGCCCAAGAGGGAGGACGTCTAGCCAGGAGGGGAGAGGGCAGCTCTTCAGGAGACTCTAAGAGAAGTCGTCCGGATACAGGAGAAGGCTCTATGATAGCTCTGTGGGGCTCTATCCCTGACTCTGAACCAGTTTCCCGTAGGAGAGGTGAGTTATGACCGTTTGCTGTGTTAGTTCCGTCGTTTTAAAAGGTTTACCTGGCTAATTTAACACCTAGGTGGGTTTATATTTATCATTAACCCAAAGGCATTTTGTTACCTGAAGGATAAATACTGTTATATAGTGAACCCTCCATATAACGGACTTCTCTCACCATATAGTCTGTTAAATAGAGGTTCCACTATATTCTACCGTACTTAAAGAAATATCCCTCACGTGCTGAAAACATTACCCGTTAGATTAGGAAAGGCGGACACTATAAATAAAATTAATTGTGTATTGATAAACTCACCCGGATGAAAATAAGATGAATTAATTTACGATTATATAACATTGTATAAAACTTAGATTATATTACTGAGTTAATTAAAGGTGAAAGGTATAATTAATTAGAAGCCTTAATAAATCGCTGTAAAAGATAATTAGATGATTAATTTGATTTATTGACGAGGTAAAAATTATATAAAGGATTAAATATTTATAATTATAATATGTTGTAGATATAAAGTAAACAAGAAAACAACAAACAAACAAAAACTTCCTTCGTTATACCTACTTCGTTTGACCTTCGTTGACCTCCTCCAGTGTCTCCTTCGTTTGACCTCCTTCGTTGACCTAATTCGCTAACCTACTTCGTTGACCTCCTTCGTGTGTATGTGTGTACGTGTGTGTGTATATGTGCGTGTGTGTGTATGTATGTGCGTGTGTGTGTGTATGTATATGTGCGTGTGTGTGTATGTATGTGTGTGTGTATGTATATGTGTGTGTGTGTGTATGTATGTGTGTGTGTATGTATGTGTGTGTGTGTGCGTGTGTATGTCTCTCTCTCTCTCTGGTGTACGTAGTTAGGTAAAGCTGGGATAGATTCGGTGAGGCTTCTCTTTCTTTCACCTTGTCAGCGGTTCTACCCAAGTCTTGTGGCATCGTGATATTTTGGGGACCTTGAAGCTGTGTGTGTGTGTGTGTGTGTGTGTGTGTGTGGGTGTGTGTGTGTGTGTGGGTGTGTGTGTGGGTGTGGGCGTGGAGAATTGAACAACGCCCCCACCCAGACACGAGTTACCACACTACCAACTGATCAGGATTTTAAAGAACATTTTGAGCAGATTTTTAACCCTCCTGATATTATAGAACCTGACCTTAATAAACTGTATAGCGATGTTTTATATTCCGGTGTTAGTTGACCCGATATCTCCCCGTGAGGCGTTTAGGTCGTGGCGTGACTATGTTATGTGCTGTTATTGGGTAACTAACTGTGTTGTTGGCACTGTACTCGTTACTGTGGGTGTGTGCCAAGGGTCCCCTACCTCCTGCCTCTTATTTGTGATCTTTGTTAACGATCTAATGAGAATGATTAAACAGAACGGCGGTGTAGAAGGTTTCCTCACCTGTTCTTATGGATGACACGGTGTCAACGACTAGATATGGCATGGTAAATAAAATACAATTACTTAACCAATATTGTATTGCTCATGGTATGAAATTGACATAGATGAGATAAAGATTTTGGCTATAAATGGCAGTGAGGTCGATAAACAAGTATTGATTGTTGATGGTATAATCGTAGTTCCGTGTGACCAGTACATGTATTCGGGCAGCCCATTTACCTCTGACGGGTCAATATCAACAGCAATTAAAGTCTTGTTATATGGTTATGAATCATGGTTAAATTGTGACATTACGCCTGTGAATAAACTTTATATGTGGTGTATTAAACAGTTATTAGGTGTCAGGGAAACGACCAACAATGATTTATGCAGGGTGGAACTGTGTTATACTCCGTTACGTGGCCCCATAATAGCTAAGCAGCGTAAATTTTTCTCGAGGATATGGACGGGAAGAAGTGAAATGGTAGAAGATCCACTTGTCCATACTATTAATGTTGTATTAATACGCCCACGTCACGATGTGTACGCCATCTTTTATTTAATGATATTGATGATGTTCAAATAGCCTTACACATACTGAAACAGAAACTGTCAAACTCAGACTCAAGTGGAGTACAATTATACAAGACTATCAATCCAAATTTTGATGTTCATGCAATCTATAATACAAAGATAAAGATGATGAGCTAGAACGAGTATCATGGACACTAATGAGAGTGTGTGCCCATTCCCTTGCTGTAGAGGAGGGGCCCTGGAACAGACGAGGTAGGGGCCCCCCGTCTGCCCATTGAAGAGAGATTGTGTTCATGTGGTGTTATTCACTCTGGATGGCATATTGTTGAAGAGTGCCCCCGAACAATAGATATACGCCATCAATATAGTATTTCAACTTTGGTAAATTTACTATCTGAAAGAACGGATTATGAAACTGTTTGTCGTGTAGGTCATCGAATACTTCCTGTATATAGTTACCATTCACAAGGACACATCATTACCCACACCTATTTTATATGTTTCAATTTATTTTACTTGTAGTTAATTTTTTTTTACTTTATTTACTCGTGGTTTTCACCTGTTTTTTTTGTGTTACAGGTTGAATCATTGAACTTTTATTAATGTTTGGTGTTTTAAAGCATTTGGACCATTTGATGTAAAATTTTAGTATAAACTCTGTATTCATAATCTGTGGTCAATAAAATATCTATATATCTATCTGTGTGTGTGTGTGTGTTAGTGTGTGTGTGTTAGTGTGTGTGTGTGTGTGTGTGTGTGTGTGTAGGGGAGGAGGAGGAGGTGATATATCTGGGTCATCTAGGGTTAACATTGTATGGCTTCTGAGGTCATGGTATAATAATCACGTTTACCACAATGGATCAGATACCTCACTTGGTTTCTCACATACCTGGTAATACTGTCAAGAGGGGAGGTGGGGGGGGGGTTCCATAATGTCTGTCTGTCTGTCTGTATGTCTGTATGTCTGTCTGTCTGTATGTCTGTCTGTCTGTCTGTATGTCTGTATGTCTGTCTATCTATCTATTTGTCTGTGCTTCTCTATGTCTGTGTCTTTGTGAGGTCAGGTGAGGAACTTAATGAGAGGTAGTGCCATTACCTGTAGTACCTCCTAGTACCTCAAGTGTACTTACCTCACCCCTCTCACCCCCCCTTTATTTACCTGTACTTACCTGTAGGGTTTCATGGTGTTCTAACTTATTATATATATACTCTCTCTCTCTCTCTCTCTCTCTCTCTCTCTCTCTCTCTCTCTCTCTCTCTCTCTCTCTCTCTCTCTCTCTCTCTCTCTCTCTCTCTCTCTATTTCATCTCCATGTTTGGTCGATCAACTATGTCTTCTATTCCTGATTGACTGATTGGCTATTCAGTTGATGGAATGATTGGATCTAATCACGTAAAGATTAACCATTTAACTCCCATTTAATTTATTTATTATTTGTATTTTTTTCCATATTGTTGTTGTTTTTGTTAATTATATCTTGTTGTTTATTCATGGCAGAGATCAAATGGGCGGCGTGGCGAGGCGTGGATAAGCTGAGGGCGTGGCGAGGCGTGGATAAGCTGAGGGCGTGGCGAGGCGTGTGAAGGAGGAAGGAGAAAGGGGAGGGGGAGGGAGGAGGAGGAGGAGGAGGAGGGGGCAGGTCACCCAAACTCCTCCAAAATGGGGGTCAAGAATGGAGGAAAAGGCTCACAAGGAAGCCTCAATGATATAACTTCTTCCGTAAGTATTTCTGTCTGTCTGTCTGTCTATCTGTCTGTCTCTTATCTGTCAAGTGTCGATTATCTCTCTCTCTGTCTCTCTCTCTCTCTCTCTCACGTCCAGAACTCAGAGCAGGGGCTGGATATGATCGAATCTCCAGCGGACATCATCTTAACTCAAGCGGAGAGGAAATTTCTTCTCTTTGTGCAGCGGGGTGATGTCGCTTCCACCAGGAGGTATGTATGTATGTATATGTGTATGTATGCGTGTGTATATGTATGTAGTGACGTGAGGTTTGACGTAGTGAAGTAGTAGTATTCGTTAAAGATAGTGATTAATGACGTGTTGAAGTAATTGATGACGTGTTGAAGTATAGTTGATGACGTTATGGTGATGTGGTGATGACGTTATGGCTTGTTGTTGAACTTTATGGCGCTATGACGTATTGAGGGTCGTTCCCACAATGACGTATTAAGTAGTGACATATCGGTGACGTGTAAGTGACGTATTGGTGACGTGTTTCAGGCACCTGGAGGAATTCAAAGGCAAGCCACAGGAACTGGATGTGAACTGCACAGACCCTCTGGGACGATCTTCGCTCGCTGTGGCCATCGAGAATGAGAACCTCGACCTACTGGAGCTGCTCCTTCAGCATAATATCAAACCCAAGGTGAGGCGTGAGGGGTGCTGGGATTGGAGGGGGAGGTCAGGTTAGGGTGTGGGGGGGAGGGTAGGGTTATGGTGGGGGGTAATGGGGTAGGGTTATGGTGGGGGGGTAGGGTTGTGGTGGGGTGGGGGGTAGGGTTATGGTGGGGAGTAGGGTAGGGTTGTGGTGGGGGTAGGGGTAGGGTTGTGGTGGGGGGTAGGGGTTGTGGTGGGGGTAAGGGGGTAGGGTTATGGTGGGGTGGGGTGGGGTTGTGGTGGGGGAGTGGGGTAGGGTTATGGTGGGGTAAGGGTAGGGGTTATGTGGGGGAATGGGGGTAGGGTTGTGGTGGGGAGTGGGGGTGGGGGTGGTGGGGGTGGGGGTTAGTGGGGGGGGTTAGGTTATGGTGGGGGCAAAGGGTTGTGGTGGGGGTGGGGTAGGGTTGTGGTGGGGGTAGGGGGTAGGATTGTGGTGGGGGAGGTAAGGGTAGGGTTGTGGTGGGGGGGGGGGTGGGGTTGTGGTGGGGGGGGGTAGGGTTATGGTGGGGTTAAGGGGGTAGGGTTATGGGGGGGAGTAAGGGGGTAGGGTTATGGTGGGGAGGGTTATGGTGGGGGGTAAGGGGGTAGGGTTGTGGTGGGGGGTAAGGGGGTAGGGTTGTGGTGGTGGGGGTGGGGATGTGGTGTGAGGGGAGGGGTTGGGTGGGTGGCAAAGGATAGAGGAAGAGGCAGAAAGAAACCCAATATATATACCTGGAAACCATCCCCTTCCCTTCCCTCCCTCCTTCCTTCCTTCCTTCCCTCCAACCCTCCCTCCCTCCATCCTCCACTACTAAATTTCCACTCCTCTACTCCACAGGACTCACTCCTCCACGCCATCTCGGAACAGTACGTGGAGGGAGTAGAGGTTCTGTTGTCTTATGAAGAGACGAACCACAAGAAAGGCGACCCATACGTGAGTCCCTGAGGTTCTATGTTGATGTAGTGATAATTCTTCAGAAACTGTCATCCAGTTCTTGTTCTGTCAATCTGTTTGTCTCTCTCTCTATCTCTCTTTCTCACTTTCTCTCTCTCTCTCTCTCACAGAGCTGGGAGTGTATGACCAGAGAGACAGCCACCTTCACTAAAGACATCACGCCCTTGATTCTCGCCGCCCACCAAAACAACTATGAGATTCTTAAACTGCTTCTCGATCGTGGCGCCTCCCTCCCTATGCCTCATGATATCAGGTGAGTGTCTGTCTGTCTGTCTGTCTGTCTGTCTGTGTCTCTGTCTGTCTCTCTCTAACCCACCACCGTCTCTCCTGTAGGTGCGGTTGTGACGAGTGTCTCATCTCGACGGAGGATGACTCACTCCGTCACTCCCTCTCCCGTATCAACGCTTACAAGGCCCTGGCATCTCCCTCTCTCATCGCTCTGTCTTCCAAGGACCCCATCCGTACGTCCTTCGAGCTGTGTGGGGAGCTACGGCGCCTTCAGGGGATGGAGCATGAGTTCAAGACGGAGTACGTTGTAAGTGTTGTTCTTTACCTGTGTGTGGGGAGGTGTTGGGGAGGAAGGGTTGATAATTAGTGTGGGGGAAGGTTTACCTGTGTGTGGGGAGGTGTTGGGGAGGAAGGGTTGATAATTAGTGTGGGGGAAGGTTTACCTGTGTGTGGGGAGGTGTTGGGGAGGAAGGGTTGATAATTAGTGTGGGGAAGGTTTACCTGTGTGTGGGGAGTGTTGGGGAGGAAGGGTTGATAATTAGTGTGGGGAAAGGTTTACCTGTGTGTGGGGAGGTGTTGGGGAGGAAGGGTTGATAATTAGTGTGGGGGAAGGTTTACCTGTGTGTGGGGAGGTGTTGGGGAGGAAGGGTTGATAATTAGTGTGGGGGAAGGTTTACCTGTGTGTGGGGAGGTGTTGGGGAGGAAGGGTTGATAATTAGTGTGGGGGAAGGTTTACCTGTGTGATGTTCTCTTTGCTGTTTTGGTGTTGTTGTTGTTTTTGTTGTTCTCCCCCCATCACTCTGTCTTCTCATCCATAACTCTCTCTCTCTCTCTCTCTCTCTCTCTCTCTCTCTCTCTCTCTCTCTCTCTCTCTCTCTCTCTCTCTCTCTCTCTCTCTCTCTCTCTCTCTCTCTCTCTCTCTCTCTCTCTCTCTCTCTCTCTCTCTCTCTCACTCACTCACTCTCCACTCACTCTCTCAGGAACTTCGTCAGCAGGTAATGAAGTTCGTCACGGAGCTTCTAGACCAGACAAGAAGTAGAACTGAATTATCCATCATATTGAACTATGACCCGGATGGTCCAATATGGGAAAAGGGTGACGTCAACTCCCTCGTTAGACTGAAAGAGGCAATCAAGTTCTCCCAAAAACTGGTCAGTTCTTTCTCATTTAATTAATCCCTTCTTTTTAAATTAATCTCTATGATAATTGAGTTATTTAAAAAAAATTGTGATAATTGTTAATTTCTTTGTTTGTTTTCTAGTTGATTTTATTTATGTTTTAACAAATAGGAATTCCATTTGTATTTCACTGTTTAGTAATATCAATTTATGACGTCAGTAATTCACCTTCCTTCCAATAATATACCACTTGTGACGTAACCAATCGACATATGACATCATCGAGCCACTTATGATGTCATCAATTTATCTCCCCACCACTAATGACACACCTCTTGTGACATCATCAATCTATCCTTCTCCCACAATACTAACTCATCTCCTGTGACGTCATCAATCCATATCCCTTCCAACCACGACTAATATACCTCTCGTGACGTCACCACCGACAGTTCGTGGCACATCCAAACGTACAGCAACTTCTAGGGGCCATTTGGTACGATGGTCTACCTGGTTTCCGACGCAAGGACGCCATCAGTCAGTGTATAGAGGTGGGCAAGCTGGCGTGTATGTTCCCTCTACTCTCCATGGCCTACATCATAGCTCCGAATTCCGAGAAGGGAAAGTTTGTCAAAAAGCCCTTCGTCAAGTTCATCACCCACTGCGCCTCCTACATGTTTTTCTTGAGTGAGTAGAGATAGAGAGATACATAGATAGATAGAGAGATACATAGATAGATAGGGAATAAAGTCCAGACCTTAAAAATCAATTGAGTACCTTATAACATCACCTAATACTAAACTCCATTTACATCAATTAAAACCTGTTATTCTACTGACTCGTGTTGACCTCCTCCCCGTCCTTCACTAGTGCTACTCGCCCTGGCATCACAGAGATTCGAGTACCTCGTGATCGAGTGGTTTGGCAACGCTTGGCTGAAATCTGTACTGGATGACTGGAAGATGAGGGAGAGAGGTTCCCTGCCTGGCCTGGTGGAGGTGTGTGTGGTTTTGTACGTGTTTAGTAAGTATCAGTCAACAGGGAGTCTTTGTTATGTGTTTCCTATCCAATAATAATAATAAAAATAATAATGATAATAATAATAATAATAATGATAAAAAAAGAAAAAATAATAACAATCTTTACCTCTTCTCTCTTAGGCTTGATTTGGGGTGAGATAAAATCCCTGTGGAACGAAGGACTAATGGAGTATATAAAAGACTTGTGGAACATCATCGACTACATCACCAACTTCTTCTTCATGACGTGGATCCTCCTGAGAACCACTTCCTTCTTCCTGGTACAAAAGGACTTGTGGTATGGCATTTGGCCTTACTATCCGAGGGAACTGTGGAATTCCTTCGATCCTATGTTGCTCTCGGAAGGTTGTTTTGGCGCCGCTATGATCTTCAGGTGAGACAATTGGATGGCAGCGGTGGGATTGATGTTGTTGGTGGTGACGTCATAAGCTGAGTTTATATGTATTTTTTTGCTCTATGGGATACAAACTTGTTTTTAATTACTTTGCTAAATTTGTAATTAATCTCTCTCTCTCTCTCTCTCTCTCTCTCTCTCTCTCTCTCTCTCTCTCTCTCTCTCTATATATATATATATATATATATATATATATATATATATATATATATATATATATATATATATATATATGAGGTTAGGTTAGGTTTATGATCCAACACATCACTAATGCAGCGTTATTACCTCCACAGTTTCTTGAAGTTGGTACACATCTTCAGCGTCAACCCACATCTCGGACCACTGCAGATCTCCCTCGGCCGTATGATCTTCGACATCATGAAGTTCTTCTTCTTGTACACACTCGTCCTCTTTGCCTTCGGTTGTGGTGAGTCTTGGAAGATTATCACGAATTCATTTTCAATTTTGTAATTATCCTTATTTCTTCCTCTTACATAGACTTGATTTCAATTTCATTTTTAATATATTTGTTCTGTTTCTAATTTGTTTTTCATCTATCTTCCATTTTATGTTCCTTTCCTCATCTTCCATATTCTGGCTTCTTATTTCTTCATTTCCTTCATCCACCTTCCATATGTTTTATCTATTTTTTTTAAGTATTGTGTAAAACTCTGCATACTTAATATTTTTGTGATGTACCTTTTGAGTACATCATTAAGAAACACCATTTTGCACTGGAGTCAACGTCAGAACCAAATTAAATATCTGTTCAAGGTTGATGGAAAAATAACATGAGTAAAGTTATAATTCGAAGCATATCATGTCTTGTACTCATGATTAACACTAAACTTGTGGATGTTGCCAGGTATCAACCAGCTGATGTGGTATTATGCTGAGCTGGAGATGAAGAAGTGTTACCATCTCCCCGGGGGGCTGCCTGATTTCCAGGATGAGGGACAGGCCTGCTTTATCTGGCGACGATGGGCAAAGTAAGTTATCATTTATCTATCTTTATGTATGTATGTATGCATGTATGTATGTATGTATGTATGTATGTATGTCTATGTCATTGTGATTAGCCTTAATGACTGGAAATATTACTCATTACTAACTTAATAAGTGACTGGTAGCCTCCTCTCTCTTCCACGAATGACGTCATCTAAAACCTGAGAAAATGTATGTTTCTTTTCGCAGTTTCATGAATTTTTGGTGTACAAATGTATCAATAACACCAGACTCTAAACCTGATCATCATTTATATTAATATTTTCCTTCTAGAGTTGTCCTTTAAGATTATCTCTCACAAATAGATTAATATAGGTAGATACGAGCACCATGGAGGCCAGGTGTCACCAGAGAGAGGGAGTGAAAGTAAAGTTATCTCACAATCGTCGCAGTACAGTACACGACCTGCAGAGTGTCACACAAATATTAAGTTCAGACTCAGGTTCTACATCTCATCAGTGGCCTCCAAGGTGTATATTTTAGCAGTGTCTCTTTAGTTGTCGTCCAGGTGTGTGAGAGCGGCCGCCTTTACTGACATCTTCCCTAATCAGGAGAGATACTGTAAGTCAGGAAAATGTTCACAAATGCTTCCTCCCTAACCACCAGCTTGTTCGAGACCTCTCAGTCACTGTTCTGGGCTTCATTCGGTCTCGTTGAATTGGACGCCTTCGAGCTGACGGGTGTGGGAGGATTTACGAGATTCTGGGCCATGTTGATGTTCGGTTCATACTCCATGATCAACGTCATTGTGCTTCTCAACCTGTTGATCGCCATGATGTCCACCTCCTACAACATGATCTACGTGAGTACTGACAGGTGGACACCTTAGCCAAGAGGGTCAGAGTGGCGTATCTTCCTTTGACCCAAAGACCCTGGCTGTCCGACAAGAGGTATTGGTCTTAGTAAACAATTGATTTAAGACATAACTTGTTTCCTTTTCCTGATAGCTTGTTCGAGACCTCCCAGTCGCTGTTCTGGGCGTCTTTTGGGTTGGTGGAACTGGACTCGTTTGAACTGACTGGTGTGGGAAACTTCACAAGGTTCTGGGCTATGCTAATGTTTGGCTCGTACTCCGTCATCAACATAATCGTCCTCCTCAACCTCCTCATTGCCATGATGTCAAACTCTTATAACACCATCTCGGTGGGTGCCATCAAGTGCTGTCTTTAATGCTGGTGATATTGCTGCGCTTACTACCACCACCGCCAACGCTGTTCCTGCTGCTCTTACTGATGCTGTGCTGTGTTGTGCTGAGCTCCTGTTTGGATCTTCTCACCCATAACTGCTGACCATTACGCTTTTATCTCCCGTTATTGATGATATATGCACCTGATGCTGGCGTCACCATGCTTCTGCTTCTACTTATTGCTGGTGTCACAATGCTGCCACTTCCTATCAATGCTGGTGTCACAATTCTGCCACTTCTTGCTATTGCTGGTGTCAAAATGCTGCCACTTCCTATCAATGCTGGTGTCAAAATGCTTCTGCTTCTACCTATTGCTGGTGTCACAATGCTGCCACTTCCTATCAATGCTGGTGTCAAAATGCTTCTGCTTCTACCTATTGCTGGTGTCACAATGCTGCCACTTCCTACAATGCTGGCGTCACAATTCTGCCACTTCTTGCTATTGCTGGTGTCAAAATGCTGCCACTTCCTATCAATGCTGGTGTCAAAATGCTTCTGCTTCTACCTATTGCTGGTGTCACAATGCTGCCACTTCCTATCAATGCTGGTGTCAAAATGCTTCTGCTTCTACCTATTGCTGGTGTCACAATGCTGCCACTTCCTACCAATGCTGGTGTGACAATGCTGCCACTTCTTGCTATTGCTGGTGTCACAATTCTGCCACTTCTTGCTTTTTCTGGTGTCAAAATGCTGCCACTTCCTACCAATGCTGGTTTGACAATGCTGCCACTTCCTACTAATGCTGGTGTCACAATGCTGCCACTTCCTATCAATGCTGGTGTCAAAATGCTTCTGCTTCTACCTATTGCTGGTGTCACAATGCTGCCACTTCCTACCAATGCTGGTGTCACAATGCTGCCACTTCTTGCTATTGCTGGTGTCAAAATGCTGTCACTTCTTGCTATTGCTGGTGTCACAATGCTGCCACTTCTTGCTTTTGCTGGTGTCACAATGCTGTGGAACGTTTACGTTGATGATTTCCTGATTATTTACACCCTGACGTGACTCTTGTGTCCTTGTGTTAGATTCACAAACAGTATTAACATTTTGATTACGATAAAGTTAAACTATCGCCCAGCAATAAGGTAACTTATTCATCTTAAAGGATTGAAGTATAATCATTAAAAGTTCGAGATATCATCCACTAGAGTTAGTTAAGAGAGTAACTTGGTCATCACAAGGAAATGGGGATATATTTGTATGATAGTGGCCAAGAAAAACAGACGCTCATCATAAAGCACTGTACCTCCACTTCTCCCCATCATTCACGACTTAGTTGGGGCGGATTCGACCTCCGAGACGAGAGACCCTTGTCCAGCGCCCTCTGTCTCACTTTTGCTATAGTCTACATCATTTACAGTTTTGACGAGCCCTGCTTAGTCCAGGTGCTAAATATATGGGCTACGTACTAGCGCTAAGACAAGCTACCCATACTTTTAAACTGTCCCATCAGTCAGTACTTAAAGTGGCTTTCATCCTACCTTTCAATCCCCACCTTATTACGGGCCTGTCCACGACCACAGCAAAAACCCTCCACCGGACCCACCACCTCACAAGGTGATGCGTTGCTTCTCCCACAGGAACGCTCCGACACCGAGTGGAAGTTCGCCAGGACGAAGCTTTGGTTGAGTTACTTCGAGGATGGTGGCACTGTGCCCCCGCCCTTCAACGTGATCCCTACAGTGAAGAGCGTCCTCAGACTCCTGGGTATGGGCGAGAAGAAAATGAGAGGATCCCTTAAGGAAAAGGTGAGTAACTCTGATAGATAAACACAAGGGAAACATCAGGAGTTTAGGCTTACAGTGTGGGTACTGCCAGAAATGTTTATTTTAGTTACCGCTATACATTGTGTCAGCAGAATACGTTCTCTCTATACCAAAATTTGCAGGTTTTCTTTCATTATCTCAGAGCAACTTTATATTAAATGAACAAATTCACCGTTCATAAGGACAGTAGAAATGATCTTACTCATTAAGTCTCCCAAGTTCATAAAATGTTCGGGTTTTTTTATTTACTGTTAGATAGATGCCATTAAATACATTACAACTACGTATTAATACCTGTATGTATATTCTGTATGCTGTATTTATATTATGTATGTATTTTATGTATGTGCTCCATTCATGTACTATTTATTCAGCCTAGCTAGTAGCGTGTGGCAATATATTTAAGATGTCCGACATGCCTGATTAATGTGCCTGGCGACGTATGGAAGCTGTTAATGTCTCGAACCTATAAAATTATACAGGTGTTTGTGTCCGCTCCTGTATATTGAACTTATTACCCAGAACACGAACAATACCCATATATAACCCCCCACAGTCACGCAATAAGTCACAACAGCGCCACATGAACGTGATGCGGCTGTTAGTGAGAAGGTACATCACAGAGCAGCAGCGGAAGGCAGATGAGAAGGGGGTGACTGAAGACGACATCAACGAAGTAAAGCAGGACATATCGACCTTCAGGTGAGTCCTATGAGAGAGAGGGTGAAAGATATGAGTCTCTCTCTCTCTCTCTCTCTCTCTCTCTCTCTCTCTCTCTATCTATCTTTTACATTCATGATAACCCAAAATAAAAATATGAAATACATCAAAAAAAATATTCCTCACCCCATTTTTTTACCCTATTTTGTCACTAATTTTTTTTGTCATCCTCATTTTCATATTCCTATTTAACAGATACGAACTGATCGACATCCTCAAGAAGAATGGCATGAACACGTCTATGGTCAACGCCGAGGATTCTTGTGAGTATAATAAATTGGGCAAAATATATTAGTCGTAATAGAGATGAATATTAATCCATAACTGAAATAGGGTTTTAGGGATTGAGTTATGACGTTCTTTTAGGTTTTAAGGATACGTGTAGTGAGGTAGTGAGTTGTGTGTGTGTGTGTGTGTGGTAATGAGTTGTGTTAAGCAGTGAGTGACCAAATTTCTCTGCAGCTGTGGTGGGTAAGAAGGGAAGAGCTATGGAGCGTCGTCTGATGAAGGGCTTCAACATCGGGTTAGTGGAAGGCCTCATGACGGAGATCCTCACCACCGACAAGAAGCCCAAGAACATCTTCGGCAAGTTAGCGCGCGCCATTGGCAAGAAGAAGAAGGAGGACTGGAACGCCAAGGTGTCCCGGGCGTCTCTCCGCAGGGACCAGATCGGCTCCTCCCAATTGAGTCTCAAGAGATCACAGACTTCCATCAGGAGGCGCATAAAGTTCGAGAACGAGAAGCTGCTCAGAACACTCAATCCTGACCAGATCGTCGAGTACAACCCGAACTTGGAGGAGTACACACCCACCACTCGTATCGCTTATGCCAGGTTTAAGGTTAACACCCTCAAGAAGGAGAAGGAGAAAAAAATGGCACAGGAGAAGAAGGAAGTCACTCAGCAGAAGGCTGATTCAGCTAACCAGAAACTAGAGACGGAGAAGAAAGAGCAAGCGGCTACTAAGCCGTTCCAGTCAAGGACCACGACACCTCAACCACCATCCGCGAGTCCTTCCCCGAAGCCAGGCTCATCACCTCAAACCAAGATACCTGGCGGCCCCAAAGCTCCAACTCAAGCAGCTCCCAAGCCTCCAACAAACCAGGATCCTCCTAAACCCAGCGGAGGAGGCAGCATTCCTCCCCCTCCCTCTACTCGGGCCCCAGATCCATTGCCACCCAAGATTCCTCCGCCAGCACCAGGCAGGGTAGCAGTGCCCACCGCCTTCCAGCAGCAGGGAGAACAGGTACAACCCAACATCCCGGCACCACGAGCCAGACCTCCACCAAAACAAATCGTCACACCACAATGCAGCAAACCCATGCCTCCCCCATCGGCACCCAAAACCATGCCTCCCCCATCGGCACCCAAACCCGTGCCTCCCCCCTCACACCCTCCACCCGGCGTCCCTAAAGCCCCCACAGTGAAAATTACGCCCACTACCCCGACTACAGGCACCTCTCCTGCACTACCCCGCTCTCCCTCACCCTCCCCGTCGACAGGTAAAGCAACAACCGAACCCATCCCAGCAGGTAAATCACAAGTGACGGGACAGGTGAGAACGGGATGGTTGTAGACGGAAGGGTTAACTTTTCTGTGATCTTGGGGGTGAGTCAAGACCTTCACAGTAACTTAGAACAGATGGCGGGTGTGTGTGTGTGTGTGTGTGTGTTCAAGTGTCGCCTAACACACTCACACACACACCACAAACAACACCTCGTTAACTGTGTTTGTTTACCTCAGTTGGTTGTGTTTAGCCACGAATCATCACTGTGTATGTATGTCTGTATGTATGTATGTATGTATGTATGTATCTACGTATGTATATATGTATGTATGTATGTATGTATGTATGTATGTATGTATGTATGTATGTATGCATGCATGTGTCTGTCTCTCTGTATACAAGTACGGTACATGTCTATGTTTTTGTATGCGGACTCTGTTTTTTGTGTGTGTGTGTGTATGTGTGTGTGTGTGTGTGTGTGTGTGTGTGTGTGTATGTGCTCGTTAATATAAATTCATGCGTGGTATTACTCTCTAAGGTATCACTTCACCATTGTAACCTTTATGCCATATCTACTCCTCTTACACATGTATCTACCAGTAGGTAATAGGTTATCCCTTAACAAATCTAAATAACAACATGGCAACTGGGTTTGTTTGGATGGAATACTTGATAACACTGACTACAAACCGTCGACATATTGTTATGAAAGACAGACTCCAAGATACTGTTATACTCTGGTAATATTTCGTATTTTTACACTGATATACGTATCTATGTCTTGTATAATATATCATTTATTAAAGTATTACAATAGTATATTTCTGAAGTTGTAAAATAAAAAAAAGCCACATGATTCTCCAGTTGATCTTTGACATCACTGCTTTCATTTCATTGGCCTTCACCTGACCACTCACAGCTGGACGTGGTTGAGTCTTAATAGATGACGTCAAATGAAAACAATTAAAGTCATATTGTATTATAAATATGACTTTAGAACTTAATCGCAAACTTACGACACCTTGTTCACTGTTATTGATGAGTTGGTGTTATTCATTTATTTACAATCATTCATTGATGTGTGTTTAGGTTTATGCCTCATTATTCATTTGTCTGCCACTTGTTACGTCAGCTTTATTGTCTAAGTATTTAGTCCTGTAGTCCCACAGTCTCAACAGCTAACTCGACGTTCCTATTCTAATGCACATTTAACTCGACTCTTCAGAGGTTTAAAATTGTCTCCCTAATGTCTGCTGCCTTTTCCGGCGATTTTAAGATCATGAAAGAGATCGTCAGTCTTACCAAGGAAAATAAAAAGAGATAAATGGGAAGAGGATTAGAAATAGTGAGGATCTTTTTCAGTTGCCGTTACTGTACTGTAAGGAAGTGTGAATGTGAGCAGCGTGTTTTGATGACAAGTGTCTGTCATCACGGTAACACTGTGGCGGCCTGGAGACGCACCTGTCTTTATTATTAAATCAATAAAATCGAACATTACGGGGTTTGGTTGTATTTCCTCTCCTCTAAACCTTGTTATTAAGTTATCATCTCCTTATTTGTTGTCAGTTTTCCTTCGGCAGTCTTGAATGGTGATATGAAGATAATTATTTCCAGTACATAGAATATGATATTAAACACCTAAAAACAAACTCTTGCATCATAATATTAATGTAACCCAAATCTAGAGTAAAACTGTTCTTTTCTCGTAGATAAATGTGGTTATTGTAAAGGAAAGAATACGTTTTTTCTTTTGCAATATAAAAAAGATGGTCCTGCGACAACAATCCATTTAAAAGAAAACAAGGATAGTCTCTGCGTCAACCATAAATGGTATACTCGTTTTCTTTGATTCCACGACTGAACCATTTTCTATGAATACAACACCCAACCATCCCTACCAACTGTATCTATGAGTCGCTAATTAGGGATTTAAAACTACATTTTATATCGTTTACTGAAGCTGATACTATAAATATAACTAAGTTGAGGTGTTGATTATTTATATATAAAATTTATAAAGCAAGACTGTTAAGGAAGTAACTAATTTAGAAATTAAATAAAAATAATTCAATAAAACTGTCTAGCAGCTCTACCTGTGGGTGCTAAACGGACTACGTCATCAGGTGTACTCATTAAGTTAGGTGTTTAACTCGAGGGTGGACGGGATTCGACAGTGCTCTTCCTAATTACTTTCTGTACAGTGTTTTATAAGTTGGACTGTTATGTGTCATCAAGAAACCTCATCGGTTATACAGCACTCTCAGGGACTCAAGTTTACATAGTCTGTGGACTGGCCAAATAAACGGCACTTACAGGTTAGTTGGGCTGTTTATAACGTAGACACCTGGAGTTAAAGTGCAATTCATTATGTATCATCGGTAAAGGTTTAGTTTAGCGCTAACACCAGAATTTGTTAGTTGATTTCCTTTATTTTTGGTATACTTATTGTGTATTAAAAGAAACGACAACTTTATAGTATAATTTTAAGCATTTTTTTTTATTTACTCTATCCCGCTTCACAATTCTCCTCCCGGCTCCATTTTTGTTGTTTACCTCGCTGAATCCCTCAAGAGACGTTTCCTATAAATGATGGTGAACGCTTCCACTTATTCCTCCTCGCCATTGCTGATTTATATCAACCTCAATGTTAAGGTAAGCTGTTTAACACATAAATTAACACGATAATACATAGAACCTAATAGAACCTGACCTAACATAGCCAACCTTTGGGTATGTTAGGTCAGGTTTTATTAGGTTCTATGTATTGTTTCTATTTGTGTTTATTAGTGTGTATAAAATTTTCAACCAAATCAACAAACTATTGGCGTTAGCGCTAAACTACACCTTTACCGTATCATCTATTTAGTGTGTTGTTAGTGATAATTTTATATAATATTGTCAATTATTTTAACCAAGAAGTAAAACAAACCTAATCAGAAACTCCAGACAAATCGTTCTTGAATTACTAGTTTTCGTTGTCGGGTAAAGCCTAAAGAAACCATTCCTACTTATCAACGGGCAAACTTTCTTATCAATTCATTTTATTTATTTGTTTATGATAATTTAAAAACATACAAAATATTAGTATTATAGAGAAGAAATTCCTGTAGTGTGTGTATGTGTTTTATTAATAATGTAGTACTGTTATTATACACGTTAGTTAACATTCTTTTTTATTCTTATAGGTATTTCGGATTTTTTTTTTTTACCATATTACTAGGATTTGAATTTGTACCATACGTAGTAATAGTAGGTTAGGTTAGGATAGGATGCCCCCCCCCACATACTATAGGTGTACAATACATGGCAATATAAGCTTAGCCTCTTTTGGTAAGATAAATTATTTCTCTGGTGTGTTTGGCATTTTTTTAGTCGATTCTCAACGTCGTTTGTTGTGGAAATGAGCCATTTTTGGGGGTGTTTTCGAACCAACTTAAAATTCGAAAAAATAAAAAAAGGTCCATTCCCGCAAGAAGATAATGTCAGAATCAATTAAAAAAACACAAAAATAACGTAGAAAAATAATATCTCCTACCAGTTGGGGAAATTGGGATAAAGGCAAATTTTTACCTACACGTCAACGGGCTCACGAGGGAAGCACAGTCAGTAAGCTCTGTATCGAGCTATGTATATAAAGTATGTGTATATACTTTATTTGACTCCAGAATGTTATCTGTACCTGTGCCAGTGTTGGTTAAGTCTGGTCTTGAATAAGCTTACACTTGTTGCCTTAATAATACTCTCTGGCAGGTTGTTCTAAGAGTTAACATTTCTCACTCCAGAAAAATTTGTCCTGACAATTTTCTGAACTTGCGTCTTCTCCCTTAAGATGTGACCTCTCGTGGGGTGAGCACCTGCCAGCACCGGGTATGAATACATGAATGAGTAATGTCCTCTGAAGTATTTATAACGTCATATAAGTCAGCCCTTGGCCACCTATAGTTTAATGACCGCAGGTGTTCTTATCTCTCAGGGTAATTAAGGTACCGAAGTGCATATATACACCACAGTCTGGTGGGGGTCCGACTAATTACCCAAATGTACCCAAATGTAGCCAAATATAGCCGGAATGAAGTCAAATAATGGTCCAAGATGAATAAATCGGACTGCCAATCACTTCTCGACTAGTATTTGGTGTCATAAAGTCCAAAAATATTGGTAAACTTAATTTAATCTGAGCTAATAGATCAAGTGCATGTACCTAACCTAACCTGACCTAACCTCGACTAGTATTTGGTGGGCAATAGAATCTTGGACACGATGATGATAATAATATTAAACAAACCTAACTGCTCCAAACATACACACACAAATCAACCGAGAACTATTTCAGCACACACGAACGGGAGACATTGTTACCAAGTCTTCTTCCCGTCAATAAACTCCCCATGAGGTGTACCAGATCGGGCGATGACCTTCCCTCTCGACCTCCCGTAAGCGGCTTTACCTATCAATACTGAGAGGGTTATCGAACTCTGCATCGTGAAGCTTGTAATCGCCAGCGAACCTTGCATGCCAATGTGCCAGAACTGATTTGTCGAGGGATAAGGTGGAGTGACCTGGTGTGCGCGCGTGTGTATGTGTGTGCGCGTGTGTGTGTATGTGTGTGTATTATTTACTTTTTATACGTTAAAGTGACGTTGTTAGACCACCTGCATTGTTAGGTTTGTTTGGTCACGTGTAATTACATCGTTTGGGTATTTGTGTCGTTAGTGACATTATAAATTATTTGCCTTTTTATGACTGGTGGATTTAGAGAGAGAAATATATCTGATTTTTTTTTGTTCATGGTAAGTGTATGTTATCAAGTGCTGTGTACGTTATCAAATGCTGTGTACGTTTATCTTAGGTTGCTGATCTTTCAAGAACTGTGGACGTTTTTCACTGACTCTGTGTGTGTGTGTGTGTGTGTGTGTGTGTTTCATGGTCTGTGTACGTTTTTCAAGGGTTAGTTACGTTGATCAATAACTGGGCAGATGTGTCTCAGAGTCTGTGTGTGTTTTCTGTCCACTACCTTACTAAAAGAGAATCGATCACACACACACCTCACACACACACACACCACACACACGCGCGCGACTGACATTATCACCAGAAGGTCACAACAATCTACCGAGCTTCATACGGACGAGAACCACCTCCTTCTATGTGGCCTCCGTCAGGTTGGTGCTGCCTCCTCCTGACGGGGTTTTTACATAGGGAGTTGTAAAAGGGGAAGAATGTCAATAGGAGTTGTCAATAGGAGTTAATTTGTCGTCTGTTTACTTAGTCCGTTGTTAAATAATTCTGCAATCACTGTCTAGGATTATGTAATAGTTGTGTTCTTGGGAAATTTGGAGTGATTAAATATGGGATTAAATGAGGATTAAATATGGGATTAAGTGAGGATTTAAATATGGGATTAAGTGGGGATTAAATATGGGATTAAGTGAGGATTAAATATGGGATTAAGTGGGGATTTAAATATGGGATTAAGTGAGGATTTAAATATGGGATTAAGTGAGGATTTAAATATGGGATTAAGTGGGGATTAAATATGGGATTAAGTGAGGATTTAAATATGGGATTAAGTGAGGATTTAAATATGGGATTAAGTGAGGATTTAAATATGGGATTAAGTGGGGATTTAAATAGCCTTTAACTTATTTCACTTTAGGATTATCCGCAATGTCCATCCCTGCTGGCTAATCTCACCAGACATAACCTATCTTGGATGTACCTCTGTTGATGTACCTGTGTTGATGTACCTGTGTTGCTGTATCTGTGTTCTTTACCTGTCCTACTGTACCTGTGTTGTGTACCTGTGTAAATTTTATCAATCTAACTGAGCTATAATCATCTCACGCGGCCACACTCATCTTCGTCTCTTATTCATCGGTTCCAACGTAATTACAAGGAGATGACACACCCCATTGGCTCTGGGTATGAGTGCTTAAAGACAGGAGGTTATTGAGAGAGAGAGAGAGAGAGAGAGAGAGAGAGAGAGAGAGAGAGAGAGAGAGAGAGAGAGATACTGCCCCACTGACCATCCATCCTACACTGACCATAACATGAAGCTCCGCCCTTTAAATGTTACAATGTGTCTTCATACTGTACACCGTCAGGGGATCACTGTCATAGGCTGCGCGGGAGTCGAAAAATCACCCTCCTGCGCATATGACGTCACGAGGATGACGTCAGGTGTCAACATAACGTGGAACGAGGGTTTCCCACTGTAGGTCAACTTTGTCACGACTTATCCTTTGAAAATTTAATTGCTTAATATTCTGCAGGGTGTGGGGGTGCGTGGGAGGGAGTGCGTGAGGGGGTGTGGGAGGGTGTGGGGGCGTGTGGCGTCGTGTGGTGTGGGATGTGGTAATCGTCAATCAAGAAAGGAAGGAAGAAGGAGGAGAGAAAGAGAGAGAAAGAGGGAGACTTATTTCTTATCTTTAATCTGTTTTAATTATTTGCTCATTCAGGATAAACTAAAACGTAAACTCAACTTTTTCTTCCATTCTCCAGCAACGTTTTCTTTTATTCACCTCTCTTGCCTCACGCGAGAGAAAAATAGATTAACTAAATGTTTTCCAGAATGACGTCAGTGTCCTAAATCTTGCCTCCACCAATCACAGGGAGCTGGTCGAGTGACGTCACTTGTGCATCTTACCTCGGTCAATCAAAACTACGGACAGATAGTAATCCGATCATGGCGTTACAAAGCCTCTTATGACGTCATTGTTGTATTTGATCTCAGCCAATCAGAATGAGGAAAGGGAGTAAATAATTGATGACGTCACTGTATATTTCTTACGTCAACCTATCAGCGTCGTAACCTCAATGACGTTATAACCACCGATAAAAAAAATGGAATCTCTTCTTGGTAACGAGAATTTGGCAGGAAAACAGACTAGAGGACGCGAACAATTCCATGATTTATAGGAATTTAACGACTTGTTATTGTGTGAGCGTTAGTAATATATCAAAGTGACATATTGTTGAATATTCGGTTGTGAGCTGCAGTGGTGTGGCCGTTGGGGGAGAGAGACAGAAGCAATGTAATTAGTTAAGGGAATTTTAACTCTCTCAGCAGTACCCGAGAGAGAGAGAGAGAGAGAGAGAGAGAGAGAGAGAGATAAACTGACTAGTAAATATGAATGAGTGGGCGTATGGAGTGGCATGAATAGAGTGGGAGTGAGTGGGCGTGAATGGGGAGTAAGTGGGAGAGAGTGAAAGTGAATGGGGGAGAGAGACAGTAGGAGTGAGTAAGGGAGAGTGGGGAGTGAGGGCGGAATGGGGAGGAGGGAGAGGTGAAAGTGAATGGGGGAGAGAGACAGTA